CGTGTTTGAAAAAAAGAAAAGTTCAATTACATTTTAAAAAGTATGTAGAATCACAATCATAAAACAAAAAATAAGAAAACCACCACATATACTAAATATAAAAACCCCTCATGTGATACTGTCCATTCATAATTTTCACTTTTTTTGCGTTTGACCAATTTTGACTCTTCGATCTTTCATTTGTGCCTAAAACAGTCGAAAATGAAGCAAATATAAAAATTAACTCAAATGTGTTTCGTTCGATTGCATTATAAGCAAACAAAGACAAAAAGTATCGTACCCATTCATCTGCTAATTTTGTTAAATCTAAGTCATCCAATAAGTCATTTTCAGTAGAACATAAAATTAAATGTTCAATTCTTTCGTTTTTTAATGTTGTACGCAAGTGGTTTTTGATCAATTTTAATTTACTAAAACATCGTTCATTGGTTGCTGTTGTGATTGGAAGGCTAAACAAGAAATTGTACACCTTTGCAACACGTGGATATAAATGACCAGACTTTTGTAGCAGTCCTACAACATTCTCCATGTTCTCACACTGTTCAATTGTATCACGTAACAATTCAAATTCTGTAGATAATAAATCTTCACTTGATAATCCTGGTACAATTTTATATATCTGTTTACAATCATTTATTGTTAGTTGTTGAATGCGATTAGGTGCTAAATTATGAAAATAACGTAATTTTTCAGTCATGACTTGTAAATAATCATTGTAAGCTACATATAAATGATCTAATATTTGTCGAAATAGTTTGACATAAAACGCTTCTCTACAAGAAAATATGATAGCAGAAATAGGGAGTTTACTCACAAATTTACTTTACAGATCTCACCTAGTAAGTTGTACTGATGTTAATGGATTTTCATCTATTCGTCGTGATCGTTGTCGAAGTCTATGCAATCGATTGAATTCCTGATCAATATCAATATTAAACGGTTCTACCAATTTTTCAGCAATCTAGAATAAAAAGTAAACTGTAAGGATGAAGTACATAACGGTTTCATTTGACTCACCAACAAAATACTCTTCAATGCTTCATCATCATTTCTCATTTTTTGAATCAATTTATTTGTATTTGTCATTAATTCCAATGATGATAATATATCCAGTTCTTTTGTTTGTAAATAGATTGTTAAGGAATTAGTTGTACGTGTAACATGGACCATAAACTTCAATAACACTACGAACTCGTACGACATTAGTTTATTTCTAATGTTTTTAGCTTGAGCTTTTGTTTCTTTATCAAATTCTTTTGATTCAATCGATTCAATGGATTCTAAACAATGAAGAATTTCATGAAATGACTCAACAACACAATGAAGAGACTCATAATTTGCGTTCCATCGTGTCTCTGACAGTGACTTTACTGTTAAACCAAATGTTGATTTTTCAAGTGCATCTCGAAGAACATAGTACCGTTTCACACTAGACGTAAAAAAATTATATAATCCTTCTAAAAACATAAATAAATTGATGAATTCAGTTGAACAATCACAGGCATGTTCCACAGCTAAATTTGAGCTGTGAGCTTCACATGGTATATGTATTATTTGTCGATTTAACTTTTTATTGATACATGCTTGTACACCCTTGTTAACACCACTCATGTTGGGTGAATTATCGTAGCATTGCCCAACAATTTTGTCTGTTAACTTACCTTTTCGACCTAATGTATCTAATAATAACTGACAAATGTCTTCACCTACTTTGCTTGCTAATTCTTGCAATGAGAGCAAACGTTCTTTTACTTGATAATTATATATATATCGAATGATAATGGAATACATTTCTCGATGTGACAAATCTGGGGTACTATCGATCAAAATGGATATAAACGGTGATTGATTAATTTCATTGACAATTTGATGTTCAATTGCAGCACCTAATAATTGTATATATTCATCTTGGGATCTTTTGCTCATATATGATACCTAAATGAAAGACAGTTTTTATTAATAGAACACGGGAAGAGAAAATCCGCATAATACTTGATATTTTTGTAATTTAACTTGTGAAAACCAATCATTCAATGTAATGTTACTTCGACGTAGAAGATTGACAAGTTGAATAAAGTTTCCTACCGCAAAAAAAGTGTAAAATACGTTAAAGCGTACTGCCTTTGGTTCTCGGTTCCTACCCTGACTCTCTGGTTCTCTTTTGAAAGCCAAACCTTGTTTTACCAGATAACGAGCTGAATCAAGTAATGTTACTATCACCTGCTTATTTAATTGTAAAATTGATTCTTGTTCTTGATTTGCTTTACGTCGACTGCTATCCAACATTAAATCGATATTCACTTTTTTTGTTTTATAGTTTAAATAACGTTCAACACTCGATCTATGTGTGACAGATGAAAAATGAGTATCTAATTTTCCTAAAAAGTAATAACAGAAGCGAGGAATGATTTTCAAGAAATAGTAGGACTAATGGGTCAATTTTAATACTCACCTTTTCTGTTAACACCTTGGCTTTTCATTTTATTCCATGAATTGACACCGGTAGATATCCATGCTTGTTCTTTTTTCTCAGTTCCTGGACCTGAAACGAATGACAATGATAGAAATATATCAACAGAAATGTAAAAAAAACACATTAGAAAATATCCCTAACCTTCGCCAAACAATCTGCATGTGAAACAGAAAACTGAGTCTTTCAGTTTGTTATATTCAATGTATGGGTACTCATCGTACCATGCAGCCGAAAACATGCATGTTGTCTTAGCTGCTTTTAATATCTTATTTTTTGGAAATTTGTAAAGTCTGGTTTGAAACGAACCTACAGAAATAAGATAACGTAACTGTTCTGCAGTGAACTTGTGATCGTATTTATAATAACCTAAAATTGGATAAATAAATCGAATGAATAATGCAATGACAGCCTTTTGACAATCGAACTTTACCTGGATCTCGATTAACCATTTTATCTTCTTCACGTTCAGTTATTGTAATTTTGTTTCGATTTGATTCAATTGTTGATACAATATTTGTACACAAACATTTTAATTCAGTACCAGCTTGAATAAGTGCATCAGCAAAACCATTAGAATTTTTTGCAAAAGTTTCAATACATAAATCGATGGATGTTGATTGTTTAATTAAATCCTGGCATGAACCTATTAATTGTTCAATTAGACGAAGCTTTACACCAATTTGTTCGACATCGAAAGAATATTGATTATTATTGACCGCATTGATGGTTGTTGTTGATGGTATCATTTCCAAAGAACTTGTACTTGATATTCCTAAAATAAAATGAAAATCATCATTTTCAAAGACTTGAAATCAGAAAGCGTGAGTTGTAAAACATATCCAGTTACCTGCTGTTGATTCATTCGTTTATTCACCACTTCGGACTAAATCTCTATTTTCAATCATTGATGTGCTTGGTTCTACAATTGTTTCATCTTTATTTGAAATGTTTTGAAATACAATTGATTGTGTATTAGATGCTAATGATAATGAATCATTTGACGAATCGACATCATTTGTAGACATTCTCGCCAAGATGACTTCATTTTTAGATGCCTTTTTAAAATATTTTTTAATACTGTGATTTTTAATTCCTTCTCCATATGAACGTTTCATGTTCATGGTGTTTCGAAATATCACAATGATCTTGTATTAAAATACCGAAAGTTTATAATTTTACCTAAAAATGACACAAGTTTTAAAAGCATTCCTTTCTTTACTTTCGTTTAAGGTGAGACCTGGCAACAGGAAAGTGTTTATTTCAAAAACCGCTGGGCTAGATGGTAGAAAAGAAGCTCAAAGACATCTTGTAGAGCATTCGTTTGGAGAAAGAATTGATTTTGTTCAGACATTAGCAATCTATAGGATTCTGTAAGGCAGGCTTGATTTATTGTTTATTTGTTGTACTGTTGCTTTTCGTCTTTATCATTTTCTTAGATGTTCGTCACAGACTGCAACAGGTGGAAGGCTGCAGTCACTAGAATACGTTAAATCCGTTTGAACATGCAATCGCTTCATTGGTTATTAACTAGAACTTTATGAATGAAGGTACCGAAGTGATGTTCGTTAATAATCGAAAAATGAAGTATGAAAATACCTTGAATATATGTTATTTATTGATTTATTTACTTATATTATATTTCCACGAATAGGTTAGTCATCACCATAGTGATGAACTAAACATGATACGCGAATAAATATATACATAAATATAGAAAGAATAAGACAATAAGACAATGTCAGTCAGTGATATCATATGATTATCATGAAAAGAACAAAAGGCGACAATTGCTATTTGTTTTGTTTTGTTTTGTTTTTTTTCTTTTCTGTTTCTTCAGTATATATATATGTCATATACAGTTCGTCATTCTGACAATGACCGATGTCTTCGTTGAAATATAATTTAATTTAAATAAATAAATAAATAAAAAATACACAAGGCAGTTTTTTAGCTGATTGTTCCATTAAAGACAGACTTCGATAAACAGAAGAATTACCATTGAGTATGACGTAATGAATATTCTTTTGCGGGGTTGTGATTAAGTAAAAAAAGGAAATTATCTTAAATATTTGAGGGTGCGTCACGAATATTGGGGGGTTGTCGCAACCCCAACAACCCCCGGTCGGGCCAGCCCTGTTTATAGACCTAATTAGTATGAATAAGAAATCAATCGATCTGAATGCATCTACATTGAAAAAAAATTCATTAATGATTTGCCATAAAAGACACTTCTGAAACTCCGTCTTGCTACTTTTCATATGTAACAAATGTCACTGCCAAAAGAGATCGAAATGAGGAATATAACTAATTGAAGTGAAATTTTAGAGTAGTGTTATGAGACATTTTTTGATGGCTCCATATAGTTTGAACTATAGATATTTTATTGTGTATAATGCCAGTTAGAAAGACACAGAGCTTTTTGTTGTTTCAGTTGCGAAAGCCCATATGTCGTTCATTGTTATATCTATTGATTTATTAAGTTTTATATCAATTCCTCGTTAACTCTTTACCTCTCATTGATGTAACTGAAGAACTACTGATAAATGGAGCCATGTATTTCGTTGGTTAACTGAATGATGGAACGACACACTGAGCATTAATTTCTTTTTACTTGGACTACATAATGAAGAGCGAGCAAAAACTTCATCTGTCCCATATTGCTGACGTAGCAGCAAACCGAAATAACAACCCGATAAGAATTAATTTCACATAAATGCATACTATCTTTAATAGACATCCATTATGTTTTGAAACTTTTTACGATTTCTGAAGATATGTAGCTCATACTAAATAGTTCTCTAAATTCTCATGAGCTGGGATTTATGATACATGTATTACCATTTTTCTTGAGGTTGAGGGCGTGCAATTAATCAACTTATTGTAATGCGTTCAAAATATATCGAAGCTACTTGTGGATTGTCTTATCAGTTTTATAGATCCAATATCTCAAAGACAAAATGATTAAAAAATCATTTCAGTTGGCAACAGCGAATGAAGAGAAGCATAATACATTGATTTTCGGCACTATCATTAAACCCAAAACTGTATCAACTAAAATATGATGAAACAATGTATCAGAGAACAAACAGAACAGTCATTTTCCTGTCTGTAAGAACTATACTTATATCCTTTTTTTTCTTTTATATAGGTTCTTATTCCAACTTCCAATAATGCTATAACTGAACGAACACTTTTCATATGAACTTGATCGAGAACAATTACAAAAATTAATGACTAACGATTATGAATGGTTTATTTTACATCGATTAGATGAAAAGTTTAAAAAAAAACGCTTTTATTCTTTATTATGTTTTTTGAAAAAAGTATCTGTACACAAATTTAAAATTCACAACAATGTGGTTTTTTTTGCTGGTGCGTGTTATTTAGGTAATTTATAATTACATAATTTAGAAATAATTCCAATGCAATAATTTAATTCTTTAAGCCATATTTATTGAAATTTGCATCTTCAGACCAATATGGTATAGCACCAAGTTTTCAATCATTTCACAATATTTTTCAAGCACTAAAACAAAAAAAATAGAACATTTAGTTGGTAGAATATATAAAATGTTTCAAGTACAAATAATACTTTTACATTTTACTGATACTGAGCGCAAGAAACAACTAATCAATCCTCGCACTCAAGATAGACTTGTGCAATTTGTGCAGTCATCGCGAGAATGAGTTTCGTTATTAGTATCATAGGTGAAAATATAGACGTCATGCATATTTTCTTACTATCTGGACTATGATGCCAAACAGATAAACGGATGCAACCGGAAGTAGTAGGTGCGAAATCCATGATGGAAAAGGTTGATCCTCGGCATTTCGATTCAGGAAAACGGAGATATGCATCAGAGGTGGAATCCGTGGAATTTTTTTTCCTGAAATTTTCTTTACATATCCGACCGAATATTGCTGGAAATGAATGGACAAATCCGGAGTCTTCCACCGAAGATTACTGTTTCCATAAAATCATAGGAATGCACTTGAATTGGTCGTTTTCGGATCGTACTGTTGAACCTGGGTAGCGAAATTCAATAGAAATTTCCTGAACAAAAGTCGAACAATAACAAGCACTTTCTCTCCGAATAGCTATAGAATTATTTGCAATGAAAAAAAGAGTACAGTATGAATTTGATAAGCAATGCAACATGACAGAATACATGCTCGTCGTAATAGATAAGAGAAAAATACTATCAGAACAACAAAATATCAGTAAGTCTACTTTCTTCATATTTTTTCAAATGTTGCTGAGTCACATATTTGATGACAAAAATAATTGTATTTCTATCGTACACTGTCAATGGAGGAAAGCTGAGAAGTCAAGTCAAGTACAGCGACTTGATCAAAACAATTTTCCATCTTAACTTGACTGTCAAAGGACCACTCCCATATTATGTCATCACTTTCTTATCGATTTTCGGACCCTCACCTTCATCAATTGATCAGCAGAAGTTTTAAGTTTTTAATAGTATTTGCTCCTGCTGTTTCGTGATATCATTTGAAATCTGTAAACGAAAATCATGACTTCAAGATGATATTGAAATAATCTTAAGAATGTTATGCATTTTCAAGTTTTCAATGATTTGTTCGTAGTGTAAGTGTAAAATTGATTTGTATAAGTGTTTTTCATTTTTATATTTTTGTGGGAACTTTCGATCTTCATACGATCATTTTGAACCTTTCCCAAGAACTAGTTTTCAAAGATGTTATAGACAGAGAAATATATAATACAACATTAACTAACAAATCATTGAAAACTTAAAAATGCATAAAATTCTCAGGATTAATTCAGTATCATAATTAAAAAGCAATAGTTAAAAGTACATAGTAATACAAACTTGACTCAATATTATATACGTATTAGAATGACAATGTTCATGATGTATTAGTTAATGTTGTATTATATATTTCTTTGTCTATAACATCATTGAAAACTAGTTCTTGTTAAAGTTTGAAAATGATTATATGAAGATCGAAAATTCCCACAAAAATATTAAAATGAAACAAACACTTATACAAATCAATTTTACGCTTACACTACGAACAAATCATTGAAAACTTAAACAGACATTAATTTATAATAAAAATTATATGTTTTGTCGTAAATATATTAGGTAATCTTTGATATATTCTAGCTCGTTCAATAATAATCGTTATATTTCACAAAATCAGCCAAATAATCAAAACCATCAACACGATTGACAAAAAGAATGCCAAAGCTGTAGTCAATGTACTCAACAATATTTCAACCAAAACAACAGAAAAACGAGGTAGAGAAGCGTTATAAAATTTAAACATATTAAAAACGAACACATATGCAGCAACACCAACAGGTGGTATAGGTAAAAAATATCTTAAACGAGAAGAAATAATAGAGCGTGTAAAATAAAGTATAATCCCTCCAAGTGTGATCAAAGCTCCTGCAAAAGTGATTGAAAGCGTGTTGATTTTCAAAATTTCTTCATCCATGTTGATATTCGCCCTGTGATGATTAGCTTGCGCTGCTTGCTCCTCTTCTTGGTGGTCACCGTCCTGAATTATTGCGGGATGTTCAGTAGAAGAGAGTTGAGAAGAACGAGAACCGATTGATATGTGTGGTTGTTGCTGGTCTTCTACTGGTACTGTTGCAGTGACAGTTGCTTCTAATTCGATGGTACTTATTTGCATTCGAGGAGTAGGCAGAGGCTGTTGTGTAGAATAGTATGTGTATGTAATGTCGACACTGCACGAGGAGAAAATGAAAAAAGAATACAGCTGTATGTGCATGTTTCAGAGAGGTCACGGAAAAATTCACTCTTAAAGCACTGGATGGTAATTGTCGATCAAATGATAAATTCTGCTCTTAGTCACGAAAATTTCATCTGCATATCCGATCAAGACGAATCAGATTAAATTCAGAAAACAGAAATTCCTCGTGGGTTCGACAGTTGAGAAGGACATAATGAGAAGACATTTACACTGAAAGTCCGATTTCGTATTGAACCAGATATTCTTGTAATTGTTGTTGGTGTGCTTCTTCTTTTCTTTGATGAACAGTTTCTGACTTTTTGCCTCTACTACAACGAGGGCAAAACGCTGAAATGAGCTCGTCGCGTTCGTAAATCAA